AAAAAATTTAGGTGCCCAAGAAACATATGAAGAAATGGTCACAATCATTATCCATATGAGAGATATAGATCAAAACAAAGATATCACGTCACCCCAGCACTAACAGCAACATTAAAAGGAACAGAAAACAATAAATGCTGTCAAAGGTTTGTAGACTGAACCCCTCATACACTGCTGCTGGGACTGTCACATCCACCAGGGAAAATGGTATCAGTCTTTAAAGAGTTGGAAATAGAAATACTGTATGAACCAGAAATCTCATTACTTTACATATACATTTTAAAGATATAAGATCCCCAACATGATACATGCAAACCCATGTTCATCACAGTACTATTCACAAAAGCAAAAATACAAATGCCAGAGATATAGCAATGAACAAAATAGGCAGGATTTTGCTCTCATGGAGTGTATAGTTTTGTTATAATAAAAGGCAATTTCAGTTACTATTGTGAAATTATACAACTGTGCATATATGAAAAAAGAATTGCAAAGGAAAATAAGGCCTTAAGCCAACAAAATCTCATTTACTCTAGGGTTTGGGGACAGCTTCTGTGATCAACATTTCAGCTAAGATTTTAAAAAGGGTTGGAGGGGGCAGAAAGTGAGCTGATACCAAGGGCTCAAGTAGAAAGAAAATATTTTGAAAATGATGATGGCAACATATGTACAAATGTACTTGCCACAATGGACATATATATGGATTGTGATCAGAGCTCTAAGAACCCCCAATAAAATGATTTAAAAAACCCAACAAAAGATTTTAAAAAGGCTAAGTAGGAGTTAGCTAGCCATTCCAGGAACTGAAAGAAAACATATACCTTTGACATAGTAAGCCAGTAAAGCCTTGAAATAGGCAGGGGGTGGGGCGGAGGGGCGGAGGGGCGCAGACAATTTGTATGCCTTTATTACTGACTTTTTAAAGGACTGTGGCATAGTATATGATACATTATGTCCAACTAGGTTGTGGGACTTGGTATTTCTCCTCACTCGTCAGGTGGTCAGGAAGGAAGCGATCCAGGCAATCTCGTGGTCTAATTTGAGGGTAAGTGATAGAGTGAAACTACTAAATCAAACTTACTGGTCTGATAAGAGATTTGTGGAATCTGAGGCTGTGACTCCCAGGTATGTTGGAATTGGTTATGGCTAAGATGCTTTCATAACTTTGCTTCCTGTATACTCTATTATACTTGGATACACTTAAAGCTC